ATCTCGATAATCGAAGCCATTATGAAACCATAAACGAGATCATTCGTGCTAGTTCGTACTCTACTATGTTAAAACTACATATACCACGATCAAACAGACGATCAGATCGCGAATAGCAGTTCTAACAGAGGACATTCGTGATAGAGAGCACCTCTGAACGGATATACTCGTAGCTCGGTCGAAGGTGTCGGGTCCAGGGTATAGGTGTCGGCAGGCCGAGCAGGAATGACACGTAGCCTGTGGCTTTCTTATTCCTTCTTATTCCGTTCCTTTGGCTTCGGCCGCCGACGAGGGATTAGCCTAATGGGTCCTGCCCACCCCTCTCACTGCACCTCCACACGCGTATAATATGTATATCCATCTCGATTCCTCTTTCTCTCTCTCTCTCTCTCTCTCTCTCTTTTTCTTTCTCTCTTTCTCTCTCTCTCTGTCTTTATTTCTTTCTTTCTCTTCTTACCACCTTCTTCATCTTCTCTTTTTCCTTCTTCACTATATAGGTACCAAACGATCGAAGAGCAACGTTGCTAAGTGATTCACGATCAGTTTCATCGATTCCATCGACACAGTGATCCATCAGTTTCAGGTTTTTACCAAACGATTTCGCGGATTTATCGCAGAAACAAGTATATCTGATGTTTGTATACATCATAGAAATACATCGTAAGATTCGTATAGGAATGAGTATATGACTAAATCAAAGTTGAAATCAAATCAAAAAATTTTATATTACTTATTTCATAGCAATCCGTGGATAATATATTCACTGGTTTCCATATGCGGAATGCATCGGTATAACCGGATATTAAAAACAAAAAATGATTACATAAGACAGTAAAAGCTAGCAGGAAGAGTTAGGTAGATTCGAATTAACGTCGAAGCTGAATATCAGCGGGCGTATCTAATCGACGTTACACGATCGAGCTTTAGCGAGCGTGCAATTCTTGTCGCGTGATCGCATAATCCGCTGAGAGAGTCTAGTACCGACATATATCGTACGAGGCATCGGCTTGAATACATTTCAAACGCTTCCAAACTGCTACCCTCTTCCTCCTTTGTCTCCTTTCATCGTACCTTCGAAGGTATACACTCCTACAACTCCTTCATTAAATCGGTAGATTCGATCGAGCTCAGTTAACACTCCGGGCACTGTACTTTTGTACTTCGTGGAAAATGTTAATTCCTTGCTGGTAGAAGGATACGCCAAATTCGCTGCACTCTTGCCCGTTCCTTCCATCGTTTTCATCGTTCCACCAAAATAACTGCTTTCTCCAATCCGCTATCGTCGTTATTTTTTCACAGGAGATAATTTTGTCTTTATTTAATCTATAACACGTTTTTATTTTTATCTAATAACAAGATTATGCCGATTATTAAACCTTGAAATTATTCTTTCTCTCAACATATTCGATAATTAATCAAAATTTTAATTTAGATTTGATAAAAAATATTGTAAAATATGATTACAAGATGTCGAAGTTACATATTTGAAATGTAGTAAAAATTATTCTGACCGACGGACAAATCAAGGAAACAGACCTTCGAACAGACCACCAGTGACGAAATTAATGGTTTTTAAGGGGCGGTGATTTTCCGACAAAGTTCACGAGTAACTAATGTGACCACCAAAAATTCATTCAACCACCGTTCTCTCCCTTTCTCTCTCACTCCCACACACTGCTGAAAGTCACCTTCTCGAAATAAGAAAAGTGAAAAAGTCGGCGTATTCTCTATGAAACTTGCACACAGGCGTTGACAGGAAGACTCACTAACTTCTCCGATGTCAACCCTCGGCCGTCCTCATTGTTAACCTTTTTAAGGACATTTGTTACCATTTAAGGGACCTCACGCGCGTTTCTACGGATATCCATTCCTCTTATTCGGGAAGTACCGACTAAAAAAAGATGAGAATAGATAGAAGGAAGAGAGCACGACTAGATTTATAACCTACGAAGGTGCGGCACCTTTTCCGCTATTCAGAACCCGATTTGACACGCGGAAAGCGGAAAAGAACCGCGGGAAAGTTATGAACAAAGTTACGCGCAAATGTGACAAGTAAACAAAAATTTCTTTTTTGTTTACTAATGGGCTAAAGAGAAAAAAAGAAAAACGCAATTTTTTCATTCGATTAATGTAACAATCTCGTATTTATTAAGCTGATTATATAGCTTGTTATCTATATCTGATAAAGACATAGATAAAAATCTGCTGTTTGACAAAAACAATGTAATTAACTCGTTAAATTTTTATCATATTTTTAAATATCCTTTATTGTCTTAAATGATAAAGAAGTTAAACGCGTGCGAAAGATCACGCGACACTATGTAGATATAGGTACGTTCCAATGGGTGGTTCAGACCGGTATCGATAGATGTACGATCGGACACAGCGGGGATGCTGACCGGCACATTTCTCGATGACGTTGCTACGAAAGAGATATTTGCTCTCGACTCCGCGGGCCTCCTCTAATTGATTACACGCATCTTTTCACGCGATCTATTCAACCGATCGGACGCTTTTCATCTCCAAGAAACCGATATTGATTGTGCCTATCAACGAGTAAACCCGGACGGCTCGCGGAAATAAGATAGAAATATGTGTATCTATAATCTAATATAATAATATCTAAATATGTGACATTCAATAGTTTTGGTTTTTTTATTTTTTTTATTTTCTTTTTAATTATTATTGACAAAGAAAAAGCATCTTTTATTTTCAATATAAATCAATTTAAGAGATAATTAATCTAAAGCACATTGACAATCAAATCTTCCTCACAAAGTAATTGATATTTCTTTATGGATCGACACGACTAAATGGACCAAATGAATGAAACAATAGCTAAAGAAAGAGATAAAGAGAGAAAGAGAGAAAAAGAAAGAGAGAAAGTGAAAGAGAGAGATAATCTATAAACCATTTCATCGAGTGCCCGCCTCCCTGTCTCAACCTGAGAGCACGTTCTCTCATTACAAGTCCAACATATGGGCACCTAAACGATCACACCCGATCTTTCCATCTCTCTCTTTTTCTTGAGCTCGCTTCCCTTTTTTCTTCTTTTTTCTTCCTTCCTCCACGCGCTCTTCGACTCGAGAAAGGAGAGAGGGAGAGAGAAAAAGAGAGAGAGAGAGAGAGAGAGAGAGAGAGAGAGAGAGAGAGAGAGAGAAAGAACGATGGGTGGGCTCGTGAAGCAAAAGGAGATGAAGAGCACCTTCTGAGAGGACCGCCGATGTCAGAGGGCGCACGAAGGAATGCTGACTCGACTCCGACCTGCCTCCTTCTCTTTTCTTCGACGTCCCTCTTTCTTTATTTCTCTCTTCCTCTCTCTTCCTCTCTCTCTCTCTCTCTCTCGCTCTTTTTCTCTCCTGAGTCATAGCATCCAAGAAATACACCTGGAACACCAATTCGAGCACCCCTTTACTCCCTTAGAAAACGAGAGAACTCGGATCAACACGAATTTAGAAGCCAATTATGTCAATTGATTATTCACCAAAATTAGGTGGATCCCTTTCTCGATCATTCTTCTCTTTTTCATTCGATCGATACAATCCGAAAAATAAACCAACCAACGTCGAAGACGTACGTATGTACGTTATTATTATTCTATTGAACGGAGTTGTGTTCTATTGAAATCTTAGAGAGTAATGTTTCTTGCCAAAGTAACGTGTATAGAAAAAGAAAAAACGAAAAAAAAAAGAAAAGAGAGAAAGAAAGAAACATTGTTGGTCTTTTACGTACGAGAACGATTCGATCGCGAAGCACGTAGAGTGTTGCAAAGAAATAAAAAGAGAGAGACAGAGAGAAAAAGAGAAAGAGAGAGAGAGAGAGATAGAGAGAGACAGAGAAAGAGAGAAACAACAGTGACTTGAGAGCAACCAAAGTCGAAGGCTAGAAATTTTCCTCGTAGATTTTCGAAGACGTCGGTGAATCTTTCGAGATATATTCCCTTTGGCGGCTTCTTTGGCGGCTACGGCCGCGTCTCTTCGTATGACAAACGAAAGAATGGAAGAATGACCACGGAGACAAGTTGCATCTACAATAAAGCTTGTAGACCCACGGTTTAAATTCCTGTCACCTCGTTCGCCGACTAGGAAAGAAATGGAATTGTGCCTTAAAGTGGGGTGGAGGGTAGAGGTAGAGGAGGAAAGTGAAAGAAAAAGAGAGAAAGAGAAAGAGAAAAAGAAAGAGTCCAAGTCGAAGTGGACGGCCGAAAAATGTTCGACGATATTTCACAACACGCCTAAGAAACACAATGCCTTCGATGTTCATAAGAATGAACACCCGTTGTGAGTGGTATCTTTGAAAAGCCAAACTGTCGTAACTACAAGCGACAAAAATCGATATTGAAAAATGAGTCTTGAAAGGGATCGAGTATTGTCTCTAAGCGATCGAACGAGCCTAATGTTTGCTTTTTTTTTTTATCGACGACATTCGATAATTAATTAGAGAGATTTTGTCGAACCGATGGGAAGAAAAGAGAAAGAAAATAAAAAAAGGTACGTAATAAATTCTAAAATGAGAAATTACAAAAGATTCCTTGTGTTGAGACTATCTTTGACTTCTTCGTAATATAAAAAAAAAGAGGAGAAGAAGAAAAAAGAGAAAAAAGGATCGCGGACCATCTTCAAAAGACTACCGCTGAGAATCCTCTTCGAATTTGGACTTCCGTCGTTGAATCTTCTCTTTACCTTTCGCACAAAGTGAAAACCGCAAGGAAAAGAGCAGCACAACTCATATTGTATGCGTCGGGTTCTGTTCAAAGCAAGTCGTACTGTGCTTAGGCAAAACAAAATTTTCCTTTGCCGTATATGTACACCGACTTCGACTCAAATTTCGCTATTTGAATCTCTCTTCATTCAGAAATAATCTAAAAGATTCAGACGTATTATTAAATTCGATATTATGTCAATTAATTAATATAACACATGTTAATATAATACATGACATTACGAACGTGGATTTAAATATTTTTATTAAAGATTTTTCACAAAAACAGTTCATTTTTTCTAGTTGCAAAAAAAAAAGAAAAAGTTGAATTAACCATCGTTTAAACACTCGAATAAATTTCGAACAAAGTGATCTTGATACTCGTTTTATTTTGCCGGTCTCCTTGACGTTTCTCAAGTTACCATTCTTGTTATTCGTTATGAAATCAGGCGTAAGTAACAATTCCATTTTAAAGATGATCCGAGATAATGCCATGAATGAAAAGAAGAGGGAATAATATTGAACTGTGGAGGCACATCTGAGCTTATACCGACATTATCCAATCCTCGTATATTTTCTCTTACACAATGAGCTCATAGATGCTCGATTGAACGATAATAAGAAAAATTTGGACAATGAAGTTCACTTTAAGAGCAAACATTGCGTCGGTGGTCACGATGAAGCTCGAGTTTTTCTTACTTTTCCTATATACATATATATATATATATATATATATATATATATATATATTTTTTTTTCTTCTGTCCATTCTTTTATTAAAAAAGAAAATAAGAACGCACGAGCTGCTCATCGCACAAATAAACATCAATACATTGATCAGTGCGAATTCGCAAACCCAAGCCGATGTTAAAAGGTTCTTGATAGGCTCAAGAAGGATTCAACGTTAGCTACGGTACAGGCTAAGTCCTTGCTCAAAGATCAGACCCTCTTTATCCACTTGTTTAGATCTCCACACGTAAGAATCAATAGTCTGTAAACAAACTTATTTGAAATATTCAATGGAATTCAAAATAAAGACACGATCAAAATATATATGTATATATCAACCTTTATTCTTTATAAAATAGAACGAATTTCTATGAAATCGATCATTCGCAAAAGCGTTTTTCTTGACCAATAGTTAATATCTTGGGTATACTGTAGTATCGTGATTTTATGAGAAGACTTACCTGCTGATAGCTTTGAAACACTCGACAAAATGGCGTCTTGACGACGTCGAACAAAATGGCATGTTGGACGGTTATTTTACGAGAACTTTATGGATACCTTAATGACTGTGGCACACATACACCTGTGGATATTATCTGTGTATATATACGTATATATATAAAAGCGTATATATACATATATATAAAAGTCCATTTCGCGTATGATCACGTGAGTGCTCATTGCACTGACTAGTGACGTGATAAAATAAACTTTTCATCTAATACAGCATGAAGAAATCAAAAGGAGAAATTAAAGAAGTTAGACGTCCACGAATATGGAAAACTCCTCTAAGTATTAATTAGTAATTACATGAATTTTAACGAACTATACTCAATCAAAGAATTTTATATTAATTATACGCGTTTTAAACTTCTTCTTCCATAAACGTAATTTCTCAGATACTATATATCACCGGAGACAATTACATCATAAATGATCCGATGACTTCGTCATCTGATTACGGTCTTCGCATATAGAATAGCTACATGTGTATAAGATGTGGACACAGGAGAATGCTCATCAATATCGTATTCATAGGAAAAGAGGCAAGTTCATCGGAGCAACGAGAACTCGTGTCTCATGACGTTGCAGTTTTCGTCGAGAATTTATCGATTACCAATTATAGTCATTTAATCGTAGAAGCTTGTCATTTATTCCGATCGCTTTCCCGATTCTGTTTTCGACCCTATACGCTTCGTTGATAAAAAAAAGTATTTAAGAGAGAATCATGATAATAATATTGGGAAATCACAACGTAACAAACACAATGACACCTATCTCTCTTTACGATTAGGTCGTTGCGGTGATGATTCTGATACAGAAAGTGAACCAGGCATACCTCTGAAACGAAAACAACGTAGAAGTAGAACAACGTTCACTGGAGAACAACTTGAGCAACTCGAGGCTGCTTTTCAACGTGCTCAGTATCCAGATGTTTATGCTAGAGAAGAATTGGCTCAGAGAACTGGTCTAACAGAAGCTAGGATTCAAGTGAGTTATTTATTTTTCTTTGAGATTGTTCTCAATAATATTTGTAAACAAAAAGATTGAAACACAATTAAGTAACAAAAATCAGCAGAAGATTATTTATACTTATCATCATCTTCAAAAAGCGTCACCCGCCTCAACGTCCATCTTCTAGGTCTGGTTCAGCAATCGAAGAGCTCGTCTTCGTAAACACGCAGGAAGCATAGCACATTCTGTACCAAGTTTACCCCTAACGCCCTGTCAATACGCTGCAGCGAGTCACGAGTTGGCTCAAATCGCTCAAATACCTCAAATGTCAAGCGAAATACCTCAAGTACCAACGAGTTTGCATCATAGTCCGACGGCTCTGCACCAAACACCGAATACCGTACACCAAGTTGTTGGAAGTGTTTCCCAGATGACCACGTCGATGGCTCCAATCCCTACGACGAACACTTTACAAGGACATGCTGTCTCTATTTCGGAACACCTGACTTCCCTCTCTGGACATATGAATAGCATGCAAATCAGTCAAGTGCCATCCATTCAACCTCCGGTTGCTCATGCTGCTCCCACATCTTTGACTCCTAATGCTGGTACCTTGATAAATGTTTCATCAAATCCAGGTTCCTAAAAATATAATATTTCATTATTAATTTATTGTTTTTTAAGGGAATACAGATTGGTCCAGGACGCAGCTCACTTGGGGACAGTTCAATCATTTTCAAGGTAGTGAATATTCGTCGAGTCACGTGACAAGCCATCAACATGCCGCGCACGCAGCTCATGGTACCCATTCCTCGAATACCGCGAATACCGCAAGCACAACGGCCGAATGGTACGACCAGAGTTATGACTATGCCCAACACGCCCAACTCAACTATCATCGCAGCGTGGGTGGAATATACTAGCCGAAGATGCTTCTCGATCCGATGGATAATCTGAAATCGTCGATCGAATTTATTTTTGTACATAATACATTTACGCTTTATGATCAAACCTAACTGATAATTTGATCTCCTTCTACCTTATTAAATCTTATCTAGGAAACCAAAGTTATATGACGAGACCGTAACAATAATAGAAATTCGCTTTTCTTATGTTCTTTTCTGATTATGTCAACGTTGTTTTCTAATAGTTACCCGATCTCTACTATTGTCATTTGCATATGGATTCAAACGATCATTAACATTGTCAAGAAAAGTTATGATGTTCCGCGTATACATATAATCTATTTTTCCGACCGATTTAAGTGCCTTACATATTAAAACAGTTTAAAAGAATATGAAAAATTGTTTTCCTGACCTCTCGATTATCAATTCATCTTTCGATTTCATAATCGACGTGTAATCTTTCAATTCGAAATAGTTCACTGTGTAAATATCTATTTATATAGGAATTAGAGATAAGACGAGAATTCTTGGAAAACGTATATCAAGGCAATAAATTTATTGCATACTCATTTTCAGACACGTTTGCAAGAACGATCTTCTTCAAACGTACTACGTCATTTGTTTAATTAACATATCGGTAAAGAAAAAATTAAGATTCATATAAGAGGACTAACGAGTGCGAGCACTGCTATTTTACAAGCTAGAAAATGTACGCGCTTCAATTGTCGGTTGTGGGGGTAAGTAGATATAGTACCTACGTGAAAAATTGCATCGTGATTGTTAACTTTTAAGTACTTTCATTCGGACATTTCGAACGAATTTATCGAACACGATAGGCTTGAATAAGAACTTTCTAATAATGGTTTCAGATACTCGTTGTCCTCGGAAGCGTGAAATGTTCGGTTTCGAGTATTTTCGATGTTATTAACCAGAGAGATACAACGACTCCTTGCAAAGCAACGAGAGAGTGTTTAAATTGCAAACAATCCAGACTATGTATGTTAAACAATAATGGGATACTGGAACAGGTCGCCATTATAAATTGTACTTCTAATTCTAATTCTGCAACACCATATTGCGATAAGGACACTGGTTTGTGCAGTAGCGTAGCTTCAAACCAATGCCTTTCGAATGAATTCATCTGTCCTTTCGTCGACGGAATATATCCAGATCCTAACAATTGTAGGAGATATCACCTTTGTGCAAAAGGTTATAGAACAACGAATATTTGTCCACCTAACAACGTTTACGACACACGTTTGCAAAATTGCAAGCTATCTTATTATTACTATGACTGCACTACTGTTAATTGCAGAGGTAAGGAAGGTCAGTTTTTCGCTTATCCAACGGACGACCGAATATATGGAAGTTGTGTGGAAGAACGACCATACCTTATTGGACGATGTGAGGATTACGAAAAATTTGATGTTAATTTGAATAGATGTGTCAGAGTTTGTAGAAAACTTGAAAATCAATATACCAATGATTGTCAAAAATATATACGCTGTGCCGAAGTTAGGAGAGGACAATATCAACCAGTTTTGCAATACTGTGCCTGCGATCAAGGTTTTGATAAGATTAAAGGTATCTGCACAACAACAGCAGAGTGTTTGAAAGGGAATAATACCTGCAAAACGACAGCACTACTTAGCGATCTATTGGGTCTTCCTGATGACTACGATGAAGATAATGATTCCGTAGAAGAAGAAGAAGAAAACGAGCAGGATCCACAGGTGTCTGATTTGATCATCAATAATTCGGATAATAAAAACAGTAACAACAATATATCTAATGGTGATGATAATGCAAACGGTAATATTGTGAATGGCAATAGTAACCAAAATAATTCGAATTCTGGAGACGTAAATAACATAAAGAGACCAGCATTACGTCAATTCATTATCAATAATTCAGGAAATAGTCATGGTTCGAATAAGGTGTCTAACGGAAACGATGAGGAAAATGGTAATATAGTTAATGGTAATGGCAATAGTAATAATAAGAACGAAGGTGACATAGGTAACGTAAAAGCGAACAGACCTGGTCTACGTTCTTTAATTATTAATAATTCAGAAAATACTCACAGTGATAATGATGTTTCTAATGGCAACGATAGTGATAATGGTAATATAGTTAATGGTAATGGCAATAGTAATAATAAGAATGAAGGTGACGTAGGTAACGTAAAAGTGAACAGACCTGGTCTACGCCCTTTAATTATTAATAATTCAGGAAATAGTCACAGTAATAATGATGTCTCTAACGGCAACGATAGTGATAATGGTAATATAATTAATGGTAATGGCAATAGTAATAATAAAAACGAAGGTGACGTAGGTAACGTAAACGTGAACAGACCTGGTCTACGCCCTTTAATTATTAATAATTCAGGAAATAGTCACAGTGATAATGATGTCTCTAACGGCAACGATAGTGATAATGGTAATATAATCAATGGCAACGGCAATAGTAATAATAAGAACGAAGGTGACGTAGGTAACGTAAAAGCGAACAGACCTGGTCTACGCCCTTTAATTATTAATAATTCAGAAAATAGTCACAGTGATAATGATGTCTCTAACGGCAACGATAGTGATAATGGTAATATAGTTAATGGCAATGGCAATAGTAATAATAAGAACGAAGGTGACGTAGGTAACGTAAACGTGAACAGACCTGGTCTACGCCCTTTAATTATTAATAATTCAGGAAATAGTCACAGTGATAATGATGTCTCTAACGGCAACGATAGTGATAATGGTAATATAATCAATGGCAACGGCAATAGTAATAATAAGAACGAAGGTGACGTAGGTAACGTAAAAGCGAACAGACCTGGTCTACGCCCTTTAATTATTAATAATTCAGAAAATAGTCACAGTGATAATGATGTCTCTAACGGCAACGATAGTGATAATGGTAATATAGTTAATGGCAATGGCAATAGTAATAATAAGAACGAAGGTGACGTAGGTAACGTAAACGTGAACAGACCTGGTCTACGCCCTTTAATTATTAATAATTCAGGAAATAGTCACAGTGATAATGATGTCTCTAACGGCAACGATAGTGATAATGGTAATATAGTCAATGGCAATAGCAATGATAATAATAAGAACGAAGGTGACATAGGTAACGTAAAAGTGAACAGACCTGGTCTACGCCCTTTAATTATTAATAATTCAGAAAATAGTCATAGCAATAATGATATTTCTAACGGCAGCGACAGTGAGAATGGTAATATAATTAATGGCAATGGAAATGCTAATAACACGAATGAAGGTAACATAAGTAATCGTAATTGAAATTGATATTTTGATAATGTAGGAAAATGATAGACTGTAATATCTGCATGTATATATATATATATATATATATATATATATATATATATATACAATAAATAATATATATATATTAGAATTTAAAAAATGATTTAATAGTTTCCTTTGTAAGCTAAAAATAAAAATAAAATAATGTTATCAATTTAATAATTTGATGATTATTTCAATACTATTATCGCTTTATTGTCACATTATTTATCCATTACAGTATAATTAAACACATAATACATTATTTTAATGACAAAAGATCGTAAACTCGTTTATATGTCATCCACAGCAATAAGATGAAAAAGCTCCCGAGTGAAAAGTCTCGCTCGAAATTTTCTCAACGGGTAAACTATTCATGTTCGAAAATCTAACCTTCTCTTTTGATATTTATTACGTACAACATCACATACATTTATACACGATGATCTCATTAATAATAGTCGAATTATGCATAATATATACGAAGGAAGAACCGAATTCGCGTTATCAGTGCATATCGTAATCACTAATTTGGGTTTTATATTGTGAAAGTTTATTCTATGTGCAAGGAAATTATATCCAGACTTCGTAAGCCGTTCTATCGTAGCAAGACGATGATCGATTCGAGAAAGGAGTATAGGTTTAGAGTACAGAAATTTAAAAAGATAGTTTTTCTTAAGAACAAAATGAACGCTTGGAAATTTTCTTTTACGCAGAATAATCTTAATAAAATAGGAGACTAAAAGCACGGGCAGTTATAATCATCGAGCGATACACTTATTGTCTTATGAACGACGAACGGTTCTAATCATTTGAACAATTTTAGCTTATAGTATTCTTAAGTATCGAAAAGAAAATTATTGTCATTATTTATTGTCAGTGAACGCATATTTCTCACGACGAAGGTTACATTTCTTTCATAATTAATGAGATGATATAACAAAAACGACCGATAGTTTGTTCCTCTAATCTAATTCGTTTTAGAAAAAATAAATCGTCTACTGTAGAATCGTAATTGCAGAAGTGGAATTTCGAAGCTTTCATAATTTCAATGAACGGATACCGTACATAGATAAAGAAGCACGAAATCTTAGGTTTACAAAATATTTACATCGACGGAGGGTATTCTTCCATTTTCCTTGTCGTTATTTCGATACTTCGTACATTGCGTATGATCCCGTCATGATGTTTATACGACGATAATTTAATCATAGATGATAATGAGCCAGTAATTATAAATCTTGCATTTAACGATGGGTCTGTCGATTCAGTTCTTTACAAGCTTTCAATTTCATCTATATCGCTGTTATTTAAAATAATCGTTCTACATTATATTATTTTCTTTTGTAATAATTTAAAGATCAAAATAGAAAGCAGTTTTTCAAAGCTAAATATCTTCAAAGTATCAGTATTTTACAAGTGCAACGTTAGGAATCATTGTTTATACCCATCGCTACTTGCACAATTCAAACTATTTAAACAATCGGTAATGAAGAGAATTATCGTCTGTGGGAAATAGAACGGTATCTTCGAAAGCCATGGTGACAATTTCCACATAAAGACTGGAGAAAGCGTATTCTGGGAGAGCCAGAACTAAGGATGGGCCTTAACGACCAAGTCGTCGAGTAGGAGGAGTAGTTGGACGTGGGCCCATCTGCGGAATTCTCCCTGAAATTGATCGACGTGTTGTTACACCAGAAACGATTCCTACTTTATCGATACTCACACATCACACATATATCTTATATCTAATCAGTCATAATTTTTATGATTTAACACAGCTTCTATTTTTTGAAATAATCAATACTAAACACCTATCAGATAGTATAAAATCCAACGATGATTCGTAACATTTTTTTCTTATATAATATAATAAAGATTTAGAATAAAAAAGATGATGTACGTTTAAAGGAGATAATCAATTAATTATTACCAATCATCGTTTTGATTTATAGCAACATATAAACTATAATTATTAATCTATACTATTGGGTTACTAATTAAATTAATGCTCGTGCAATCAGAGTCTAAATAAGTATATATATATATTTATATATATATTTTTATTAATAAAAATCTATATATATATATATATTTTTTTTTATTAATAAAAATTTATATATTTATATATATATATATATTTTTATTAATAAAAATCTATATATTTATATATATATATATATTTTTTTTTTATTAATAAAAATCTATATATATATATATATATAGATTTTTAGCCAAGAACTATGGTGACTCGATCGTGACAGCTATTTCTTCTAACAAAAGAAATATAGGAATAGGGTTAATACAATGAAAAGAAAAAAAAACATAAGCACTTAGTGAGAGCTTTTCACAAGAATAGAACAAAAGACCGTAGCATCTTGTTGGTTCTGTTCGAGACATTTTATCGAGAAGCCTGGATCGAATGAATACCTTTCGATAATAGAGATAATTATTTTCGCCTCACATTTAGACTCTGCGAACACTTCAGCTTTTAGCTGCCTTCAACATTCAACATCAATTACATCACTGGTATCCAAGAAAACCCTTGTGAAACAATGCAAAATAATTCTTCACTATTCATACCTTCCAATTAATCCCATAACAAAGTACCAAGATACTTCTTTCTCTGGATAGCCATTCAAAACAATCGCGACACTTATCCATAAAAAATAAAAACAAAACAAAAAAATACACGTCAAATATTTAGTAATAAGTGTAATTATAAAAACATTGAGGATGGTATACGTATAAAAAAGAAGGGAAAAAATGTACTAAATAAGTAAATACAGACATTGATCCTCTATAAAAAAAAATAAAGTAGCCTTCTAACATAGAGCTACGATCTAGTGACTAGATTCTAGTCAATCTAACATCGAGAAACGACACCGAATGATATACATGTAAATGTTAACACCTATATACCACGACGAATCTGAGAAGATGACACAATTGAAGAGAGTAAAGACGATTGAAAGATTATGAAAAGATAGGAAAAAGAGAAAGAAAGAAAGAAAGAAAGAAAGAAAGAGAGAGAGAGAAAGAGAGAGAGAGAGAAAAAGAGATAGACAATTTCTAGGCGGTGAATTTTCGTAAACGATACTCGTGAGATTAGAAATAATACTGATGTTGTTACTGTTGTTCTTATTGTCAATTTCTGTTTCTAACGAGAACGAGATATTGTTTAAACAATTATTTGATATCATTGCAACAATGATCTACTGATTGCAGGTACGGACAACGTGACGACATCACATCGAAGTAGGAGAAGATTTTGCGGAGAACACGAAGAGAATGAGGTGCACGGGCGAGAGCCTAATGGTCTGACCTGTCGACCAGATACCGGGGTGATCGCGAGAATCGTGCCGCCCTGAGCGATGGTAGCAAACCTTGCCGCGCCAGAGACCCGATATGTCTCTTACTTGGTTGAAACGTCTCGACATATCCCACGGGAAACGAGGTGTCCACCGGTAACTCCAACTCAGCCGACTCCGTTCCTGAGAGTCAGAATCTTGTTTCTTTTTTTCTTAAAATTTTGCTTCCAACAAGGAAGCGAAAGGAACTGTAGATACGATAATTTGAAGATCCAATGTGTCGGAATAGTCGATTTGATTTTTTATTTTTCAAAAATAGCCGAGCCTTCAATCGTTTTAATTGGTTATCGACAATGGGACACGTTGGATCACTCAAAAACTTAAAACGATGATATAGAGACGATCTATCTGTCTATACATTAAATTAATCTATATTAAAATATGTACCTGAAAGAATCATTGATATTACAATTACAATGTAAGAAATGACAAAGATTATTAAAATTATAGAGAAATTTCTAAAATCGTCCTTACCCATGAATCTCTTCTCTGTGTTTGGATACTGTCCAGTAAGAGCCTCGATCATTTCCTCGTAATCAAGAACATTCGAATTCTGCATGACGGGCAAAGGATACTCGTTCGAGAAATCTATCTGCCTCTTCGTCCTCCTATCGTCCGAATCTCGCATCAGATAGTCCAATCGATCATCACCGAACGAGCTAGAGGTTCCATCGTCGTGTCTCTCGCGGGCCAGCTGGTAAAGTTCGAAGGGCTTGTCCTTCAAGGATCGTCCTTGACGGTTCATAGTACGAAGGATCATACCGTAGGGTGGAATAGCATAAGCTCGTTTCATGGAATCGGGCCAGGCTGAATTTCTAGCCAAGGAGGCTACGCTTCTCTTATCTTCATTGTACAAAGAACGAAGAGGAAATTCGGATGATCGAACCACAGAATCCAGGAATCTTCTCTCGATCGGTGACATTTCCTCAGGCAAGTATTCCTTTTTACCTGACTGTGGTAGCATGTATGTCCTAGCTAAGGCAGCAATATTCCTTTTCCCTGCCAAAGGCAAAGCTCGATCTCTTGCGAGAGAACCGATATTCCTCTTTCCACTTGGTAATGTATGATCGCGTGCCAAAGAAGCAATGTTTCTTCTACCAGCTGTTGGTGGTAAAGCAAAGTCTCGAGCCAATGAGCCAACATTTCTTTTTCCATGAGGATAATCACGTATCAAAGATTCTATATCCAATTCTCCATTGCTAAGTGTATACTGGCGGAGAATCTCTGGGATATTTCGTGCAGAGTTTTCATTTATTAAACCTTTCAATAACGCTTCCAACCTCTCGTCGGTCCAAGAGCTGTACCTGTTAAATTAATAAATGAAATAAATTCCTCGAATTCATTTTACGTAAGTACGTATGTTTAAATAGAACGAGAAAAAAAAGAGATCTTTCACCTATCACGTTCCTGAATAGAAGCTGGTAGATCGCCGTTCTTGGCCAAAGTCGCGAGACTTCGTTTTCCCGTTTCGGTTAATCGTTCGTCTTCCTCGACGTCCTCGAACGAACGACCAAACGGATATTCCGGTAATTTGGACGATTTACCAATCGACGTCAAATGAGCTCGCATCGCTGGATCCCTAAAGAGTTCCAAGTAGAGGCTAACCGGTATACAAATCTCTGCGTCGTCGTTTTCCTCAATACTGAGTGCTTTCAAATGAGCCATGTCGTTACGATTCTTTGCATCTTGAATGATCCGAGCCGTTCGCGAATAAGCTGCTAAATTTGAACTTGCTTCCGGAAGACGCAGAAGTGCGATGAAGTCCTTTTTCGGTATGCATTGATTGTTGATCTCTTCCTCTTGACATACAATCTGTAACAGTAAATCACTTTATATACTCAAGTGATGCTTCGACAAAGAAACTATCTATCTGTTTATTTTTAATAGGAAGTCATTATATAAGAAAATAATAAAAAAGTATGTAGATATAGCGCTTTATTCTAGATTTAAAAATAGGATCACTAACGAGATTTGATTATCTGTATTATCAAACGTCGTGTTATTAACTGATAAAATCAATTTTAAAATCTCTCATCGTTCAACGGAAGATTTTATTCGTTGAAATGTGTACATATATTTCTCTTTCATACCAAGCCCTCTCATATAAGCGGAATCACGTATATTGGAAGAGCGAAGACACTACAGTACTCCTTTCATACCAATCACACAATACAAGATATTGATCCTGTCAAACTTCATATTACACTAGTCTTCATATATATATGCATCGATCGCAAATTGGAAAGAAAGAAACAAAATACATCCCCAATTTCATACATGAACCTTGAAGTCTCACCTGTGAACTTTAAATAAATACGTGAAAGAAACGTATTTCTAAAAAGTTTAAATGGAATTTGATTTCTGTTATATTAAAGGAAAAAAAGTAACGAAAGATTTTAATATTTATATCCTGATATTTCACGACGTTCCTCAAAATATTATGCAGTAATTAATTCATATGTATCTCTATTCGCCAAAAGGATCGGCCGACAGCTGCAACGTTATTAAATGACCGTCACAGTGTCAGACATAAATTTCATCGTTTCAACGTTTCGCATTGGTCATACATATTAATGTAATCTCTAAATCGTAAACATGATTTCGATATCGACCATACGTTTCTATCTTCTAAAGTTTCTCTTTGCAAAAGACTTCTATTCCCAAATCTCTTTCCGTTCATTATCGTCAATCAATCGGATTAGTTAATAAAATTGATTCTCCTTCTATTGATATCTCTTAAAATGCTAAACTGCACCTTTTCGATTCTGTATAAATTAATTACTTTCAATGATTAATTTCAATTGAAAACACAATACGTTCACATATATATGATGATGAAATTATTATCGGCATTTTCAACATTAAAAGAAGAAAAGTGCTGTTTGTTTAGATATAAAATACGAAAATAAAAAAAATACCTGCAGTGTCTTATTTATATCAATATAAAATATTACAAGTTATCAAGAAAAAAAAATGCTACAGTGTTATTTATTTTCCATTAAAAATATTAATAATTGTATATTAATAATTATTTATTTAAATATAAGATACCGAACATTTTTTCAATAGAAATTACAATAATGACTGTTATTTATTTATATAAAAAATATTAAACATTCTCTATAAAAAATATTAGTGTTATTTAAATATAAACTATTAAAAATTCCGATATTATTATTCCAACTCAATATTATAATAATCCTAGAGATAATCTCAATTTAATGAAGTCATGTTATATATCATTTATATTCACCTATACACACACACACACACACACACACACAGAGAGAGAGAGACAGAGACAGAGAGAGAGAGAGAGAAAGAGAGACGTCGATAAGTGTCGTGGTTGCTTACTATCTTGTCTCATTAAAACTCGCTGTTAATCGTCCTTGTCACACAAGATTAAATGAAATTCCTCAAGTTGTACTTTCAACTAACTCTTGAACTCGACTTATGTTGGAATGCTGAACATTCCTGGAAGTATCGGATGCAATTAACTTATATAAATAATACAAAACACCAGTCAAATATTTAAATCTTTTCTCTTCCTAAATATCGTGATAAATAAATTATTTTTACAATTAAATGGTAATAATTTAAATAAACAATCCGGTAATCCAATTTAAATGAGTTAAGCGGCATAATCTCAAATAAATCTTACTTTTATTATACTCAATGTAATATCGTTCTCTTTAATATTGAACTTGAAAGGTCGAGAAGAAAGAGAGAAAGAGAAAGAGATTTGAATAAAAAAAAATGAAAGAAAAGAAAAAGAGAGTAGATTACAAATAAAAGCTGGACCTTCGAACTGTGAAATCTCCGACGGGAGGGAAGAGCGACATCGAAATAGCAATAAAGGTAACCAATCGTCGAATTTTCTTCGACTTATTTCTTTCCAAGGGAACATTCTTCCAAAGGCAGCTGACAGGTTTATCGGATTTATCGGTACGATAAAAAGACGAGCCTTACGTAATTTTATTGTAAGAACGACGAAGCTTTTTGAATTTTCCTCTCTACGAATGAACTTTCGATATTTAACCCTTCCCTACCATAACGATCGTCGAACAAGCAAACTATTTTCATGATAAACAAAAAAATTTCAAACCTATCGAATCGAGAACATCGATCGGTCGATCGTAGATCGTCGATCGATTCTCCGCTTTAAATTCGATTTAGAAACGGTTTAATTTTCTATCGTAAATTTCTAACTAACCGAAACTAACCGTTCGAATAACCGCGATAGTAATTCGCTTTCTGCGTAGCATAGCCGGCTTTCATAAATCATCTGCAGTTCATAGAAAAAAAAGTACCGTCGTAGAAAAGCGGTGGTACCGATATATCGACGTGTGTAATACGAAGCACGAATTGGCTTAAAAGAAATCGGATATCAGCCCGTAGCGATGATAATGCCTCGACCTCGTTCCAAAAGAAAAGCTTTAAATTTTCGAAAAAATAGAAAGAAAGGAAAAATAAAGAAAGAGAAAGAGATGAAAAGTGGATACCTATATCGGGATCTATTGAAGAATAGAAAATTCTTCTCTAGCAAAATTCTTCAAAAGAAAGGGATGATATTGTTTCGTCATATTCTTCTGCAACTATAAATACATATATAAATATATGAATATAAAAAACACATAAATATCTTTGACATCTAACTTAGCATTGAATTCTTTCAATTGTTATCTTTTAGCGGACGATTTACTCGAATCATTCAAAAGATTAATCTCGGGAGTTAAAGAAGCTATCATTTCTAAAAAATAATCGTTATACGTATAAATTATTATATCCTCTCGTCACGTTCATCGAGCAAAGTCGTAACGCCCACCAGATGATAGGCTTTTCGCACGAACGACCATCGATAATCCGATAAGAAAAAAAAAGGAACTTGATCAAGAAAAAAGAGATAAAGAGAGAGAGAGAGAGATAGAGAGAGAGAGAGTGAGAGAGAGAGAGAGAGTGAGAGAGAGAGTGAGAGAGAGAGAGTGAGAGAGAGAGTGAGAGAGAGAGTGAGAGAGAGAGAGTGAGAGAGAGAGAGTGAGAGAGAGAGTAAGAGTGAGAGAGAGAGAGAGTGAGAGAGAGAGTGAGAGAGAGAGTGAGAGAGAGAGAGAGAGAGAGAGATAGGACTAAGTCACTTTATAATGGCGTACCGTTGATACATCGATACGAGACCAAGCCGATCCTTCGAACGACGTTTGGACGTCCTGAAAAGGATGATCTGTACCATTAACATCGTTTACTTTTCATCGAGTCAGCCAATACCGATAATAATATTCACGAAAAAATGTTTTCGCACGAGGGATAAAGAAATATATACATACGTACAAATATATAGATAAATAAATAGAAGAGTAATGGAATATATAATTCTCAAAATATTAAAAAAACTAAAACAAAAAGAGAAATTTTCTTAACGTTGACCAGAATCAACGAATTTATAGTAAACCAAGTTCGAGAGATTTCTGCATCGTTATTTCAAGCTTAACTTTTTGCAAAATACTCCTATAGTTAAGCCAATCCTTTGTTAAGGATATTCATTGTTAAATCTCCACTAATTAGAAGCAGCTGTACATGTGGTATATTTATAGAATAAAGATCAACAACATTAAAGGATTCAATACAAATTCTGATGCTTATCATCCCTACCTTATTCTCGTAAATATAATCACAAGGTTCTCCTGGTTATCCCTGAGAATTAATTCTAATCGATATTGAGAAACATACTAACACACCTATAGACAGGCACACAAAGGAAGAAAGCTAAAATAAAAAATATGGAAATTTTGAAAAACGTAAATAGCAAAATTTACAGAACCGATTGTAAAAAGATATAAAAAGAAAAAGAAAGAAAGAAGGCACGTCAAAGTTTCATCGACGGAAACACTACTGATCATACTCTTCACCGCTGTAAATGACAACAATAAATCATAGCGCGCAAACCATTCCATAGACAGCAACATATCAGACGACATCGTGCGTCGTTCCTGTGAACATGATTAATGTGTTTTGTTCGCACGTAAAGTTTTGCGAATTGATTTGCGATATTAAAATTACATGTATCGTAAACATTATTAAAATTACGTTTAAAATTACGTAAACATTACGTTTATCGTAACAAAGATAGAAATATTTTGAGCGTTAATTATCGCTTTTATATATAAATATAGAACGAAGATAAAAGAAAATTACACATATTAATTATCCCACCAAGAAATTTCAGAGAGAGAGAAAGAGAGAGAGAGAGAGAGAGAGAGAACTGCATTACTTTGATCCCACCCTATATAGTATTCCCGCTCAATTACACGTACATACCTACCTACTTGAAAAGCGAAACAGGATCTTCTTAGAAGATTCGTTACCCTCCCCTTTGCCTTTCGCTTCGCCTAAGATCTCGTTTAAACGTCAGACTTTATACCTCGAATGTTCCTTTACCAATCCGATTGGCGTGAAAGTCTTCAAGCTTCTTAAGAACGAACGATCTTTGACGGAACTCGTAATTAACTTTCTTTGGCGGTTAAAACAAAAAAAAAATTTTTAAAAAAGTGTAATGAACAATCCTTTTCAATAAAGAACTAAATATAACATTAAATATACACTCGGTTTTCCGCATTCTCGATATTCTTTCTTTTCTACGATTATGTCGAAGAACCGTCCTAGTTTACGAAGAAGTTCTTCGATATTAGATATAGTTCTTCGATATAGGAATTCATCTAAGAAGAAACTTCAAGAAAGAGAAACAAACAATTGTCCTTTGGTGCTTACAACCTCTATTGCATTTACCTAAAATGGTCTTTATATATTGTATACATACGTACAAAATACATTCACGAGTATCTATACCTATGTCTATCCTTTTCGATCTTTGCATAAGTATATATGCGTATGTATATATTCCTTTTGTTTTCTTCATTTAAGAGAACACCAATGACTTCTCAAATACCCATATTTGTGCTTCCCATTATACGACTATTTCTCCGTATACGTTTCAATTTTGATAATGAAATTTTTAATAATGAAATCTTTGGAATTTGTATATAAAGTTCTTTCTTCGTTTTTCTTTTCCTTTTTTACAATTACCATGATGTACGTGTTAAAAAAGAAAAAAACCTGCATAGTATGCAATAAAATGAAGTTATCTGTATCGACAACTGGTCGAAAACGGAAACCGAAAACTATGTGAAATTTTAGAATTCATTGTAACGTATGATAAATTCATTGTAATACGATGAATAATATAATCTGCGAATGATCGGGAATTCTCCAGTTAAAAATATTTCGAAACGCTTTATTTGGTATAATGAAGTATAATCGAAATTTGATAAAAAACGAAAGAGAGAGAGAGAGAGAGAGAGAGAGAGAGAGAGAGAGAAAGAACAAATGGAATTTCTCAAATCTGTTATAGGAAGTCAACGATTAGTTTACCACTAGCCGAAATCCAAGTCAAAATTAAGATTCTATTTTTAGAAAGGAAGAAAAAGGAAGAAGAAAAAAGGAAGTTAATTGCTATCCATTCATTCGTATAACGCTCACAGCAATCGCGTTGGTGGACGCCTTTACTAGTAATAATTCAAGAGAACATTCGCACGAAATCTCGTAGCCCACGAGTTCGTAGAAAAGAGCATAAAATTTGTCGAACGGTATTGAACACACGTGCCAAAAAAGAGATATAAATTAGGATTAAAGTTTCTCGACGATTGTATCTTACCTAACTAATAGGAATTATAGAACATTAAAAATATGTAATAATTATAAAGGTTTTCCCTTTTCATTCTTTTTTAAGATTAACAATAAAAAAAATTTTATGTAAAAAAAGAAAAGAGCGAAATATTTTTTCTAAGTTTCTTTCACTTTTTTAGCCTGAACTTCCGATGATACTAAACTAACACAAATAATCATACATATCAATTTTTCATGAAGAAAAGAATAAGAGTTTTACAATCGAGAGAAGATATTTCGCAGAGAGACAATCTTGCCGAGAGAATAAGTACATAGGTCTTAAAAGTCAAGAAAAGAAACGATAGAAAAGTTTGCGAGAAGATTTAAAAGAAGTTCTTTGCGTCAAGAAACTATTAGAAAGGAAAATGAGAAAGAAAGAGAAAAAAATATATATACAGTAGTATTTATACATTAAATTGACGTTGTTAAATTAAAAAAAAAATTTGTAAGGACGAAATGAAAACAAAGAGATAAAAGACATGAAGAAGATCGCCTATTTCCTAAAGATATAACAACAATTAATTAACGTATTCATTTATAATTTTATTTAAGATTATATTCATATTTATCTGGTTATCAAACCAAAAGCGTAACTTATGTCACAAGCCAGACAAGTGTACACCGCGGTTCGCACAAAGAATCTAGGTCAATGAGCTTAACAGTGATTTTCACGATACTTTAATATTTTACTTATGCTACTTTACTTTTATTTTATGCAAAATCTATAGAAAATAAAGCTTCAAACAATTCGTGATAAGAAAAGGATGTTATCAAAGATCACTTTTGTTATAACCGTGTATTAGTTCACTGATAATCACAAAGGTAAGAAAAAAAATGAAACGTGTTGAAATGAGAAACTAAATAAATCGAATTTCACTGTAACATTCGCTTTCTCATAAACGATAATAAGTAATCACGAGTAATCCCATTAATCGATTCAATCTCCTACAACACAATCCTAAAGTCGTCCAAATCATTAGAATCTTGCAATCAATGAAAATCGTACGAATAATGAAATTAACACTTCATACGTACCATTAATTCGAATCAATGTAACATCGAAAATTCCTCAATAGTTTCTCATATGCTATTCGATGATTACACTCAGTTAAACAAACCAATTGTATGAAATTAAAGTTCACCGTGATAGAAAAAAAAGAAAGATAAAGAAATCACTCAAAAATCGTTAGAATGGTCGAAACAATTTTTGGATGAGTCAATACGAACGTATATTGAATTTTTATTAAACTTTTACGCACATAATTAAAAAACAAAAAAGAAAGAAAAAAAGAAAAAGTTTAACTCAAAGAATACAACAAAAAAAAAAGAAAAAAAATAACAAAATGAATGATATAATAAATAATTTGAGATTTGGGAAAACTCACCGTTGGAAGAAAAATCGCGTTGACTATGGCGATATAAAGAAGAAGTTTTACGAGGTAGCTTCCAGTGAAGCCCATTTCCGTGAAGATACCACGCGTCCTTTCTACACGGATTTCCAAAAGTGAGTACCGCTTCGAACTGCGTTGCCTCCTTATATAGGTTGGATATTGGCCGCGCAGGCGTTTCGACCCCCCATAGAAATGGGGGGTCGAAACCCCTCCTACATACCCAATGGTGGTTGATATTTACGCACACCTGCATCAAATGATGTAACCGGCACGCAATACGCATATATTTCATGCGCTTCTAGCCTTCTGTTTTTCGAGCCAACCCCTGGGAGAGAAATAGATAGAGAAAGAGAAACAGAGAGAAAAATAGATGAAAGGAGAAAAAGAAAGAGAAAGGAAATAAAGGCAGTTTAAAAATCACGGCCGAAGCTAATATGCGGAGATTATTGCGTGTTGAGAGGAAAAAAATAAAGAGAAAAAGAGATAGAAAAAGTACCAAAATCGTATCTCCAACCTTCTATTTTACAACCGTATTTCATTGGATACACCCGCGCAATCTTTATCTCGTAGATCTATTTTTTTTTTTAATTCGAAACTTAATTATTTGCTAGTAGCAAAGTCTGAAAAACTTCTACAGATTGTATCTCTTAATTAAAATTAAAATAATATACACATATATACTAGATATAGTAAAATCATGTACTCTAAAAATGTCATCTTCGATTTTTATCTTCACAGTATATGTTTTATCAATGATATACACATTCTAAAACACGTATCTCAACAATACTCGACTGATTCGTAAATGTTAATGAAAACATCGAAGCTAAGATAACTATTTTAAATGCGACATGCACGCGCGGTTGCGTACACTTCCACGACGGCCGGAAATTTAATTTCAAGCGTTGTTTACGTATGAAGAGTATTGGGTATTCGTACCCATTCAAAATGTATATACATATATATTCGCAAACGAATGTACGAATCCACCAAACTGAATAATTTCTTCAATGAATGAAAATCGACATGATTTTTTTTTTAATTTTCCTTTCGTTTTCTTTTATTTTTTTCTTTTTTTATTATTTTCAACATTAAATATACATTGGTGTACCTATCTCTCTCTCCCACCCTCTCTCTCTCTCTCTCTCACGTATACAAATTTTATTTCTAGCATAGAGAATATAAATAAAAAAGTTAGACAAGGATATGCGAATAGAAATAAGGATCCTGAGTTTCGCGTAACGTTGCTCGTGTGCCTAGGGAAAACGAAACGAGAAAGGCAATATTTTATGTTCCAGTAAAGTCGAATACGATTGGCATCGTATTTTGATACCGTGTCTTTTGGGATTACTCTGTACGCCTGAAAAACCACATATATAATTCACGTTGATTAAGACGATCGGATTCTATGGTTTGACATTTTCAGGCTAACGATTGAAATTTACAATGTCGTTAAAACATATCTAGGGTTAAATTGGTTTTTATAAAGCATATCAAGATGTTTATAAAAAAATATTAGATATGTAAATAACGTCAAGAAAGATATGAAGTAAAAGTTCAACGGATAAGTAGTAAGCACACGTGTGGCAATAATCAGACTGCCGGTAGGTAGATCAGTAGTACGAGTCAATAATAGAGAATACTGAGCAACAAAAGGAGATAGTCCCGTTTATATACAGGCATATACGGCAAAGTTATACATCTTAAATGAACGGGAGAAAATGTTTGCCTCGTTTTTTCTAATTAATTAAAAAATGGAAAATTGTAAATTCGCGCATTAGAATATCAAATTCGTTATGTTAATTATAAAAGAAAATAAAAAGAACAAAAATAGAAAAGGTACTGGGTACACATTGAAATGGATCATTTTATACGAAGAATGGTAGTCGTTAAATATATTGACTGTCGATAATTATAATCAATATACATAAACGTATTTACAATAATAAATGCTTAATCCTACCATGATAGCGTAGAAAGGAGGTCACTTAATATTTGCTTTAAACTTTAGGATCGAAATTCACGTGGTTGCAAAACTATTAGCTAGAAAGTCGTCTCTTGAACCTAAATTTCATCGAATACAGTCTCTTCAAAGTTAATTCATTGATATAATTATATTTAATACGCTGTTATCCTTATTTGAGAGATTGTTTTAAGCACCGTCGCTTTATTCTAACATACCTTAGCGAAAATCGGTAAATAGAAAAACTCGTACTTCGTTCGACAATGTATGATTTCTGTTTAATCAGTTTTTGAATAAATTAAAAGTTCAAGAAGAACGATAATTTCTTTCTTAATTTTATAGAAGCTCATAATATATACAATATTAGAATATCGTTAACACATCCAGCACACAATGAAAGCTGTTTAATTTCGTTTATGTAGTTCTAAAATTGAACTAATATTCTTTGTGACAAACAGATATATATATATCCAAATATCACAATGAGGAAAAAAGTGCATAAACTCTTCACTGATTCTTTCTATAACAAGCTTATACTAAACTCATGTAAAATAAATGAGATATAAATGTAAGATGAATGATAACATCAACGATACTCTACAATCATTGACGATGCTTCTTTAAATATTTGGATATAAAGGATCTTTATTTTCATTTTTCATTTTCCTCCGAAGATAATTTAGCTTTCATCGAATCATGATATGCATCCAATAATTCTTTAGGACTTAATTTTGAACTGATTGCTTTATAAATCTTAAGTAATTCGTCTCTTTCACTTTTGCTTTCGACATGCGACAATACTAATTCAGTAGACCACAACTTATCGAATACATCTTGTATAAGAGTTGGATTCTGTAACTTAAGCGTTTCTGTTATGTCGGTTAAACTACTATTTTGCAAAGCAATGTCCAAAACGAGTTGCGGTGGAATTAGTTCGTCGTTTGCAACTGTATGACTAATTATTACATCCATGGGAACTCTCTTTAACATGTCACTGAAACACGACAGATCTGTCATAGGAGTTTTAATACCATCATTGTCTTCCTTTTTCAATATCACTGATAACATTGCAGCAAGTTCCGAAGATGTACATTTTTGACATACAAAATCTTTTATTTCCTTGAAATCAAAAATGTTCATGCAATCGCCAATCGTAATTTTTTTCCGATATGCATTGAGAACTTTATGGAAAAATTGTTTGTCGCCACTAAAAATATCGGGAAGTCTTAAAAGAACTTTATTAATACCGCAACCACGACATGCAGATTTTAATTTCGTTTCGTAGTAGCTTCCGTTATTGTCAAGTCCAAGTAGTTTTAACGTTTCCTTTTCAAATTCTGCTTCTGGCAAAGCTCTCGTTTTCATCTATAAAAATTGTTTATATGAGATTATATTATTTATATAAAACCAATGTAACACAACCAAAACTTTTAACTGTTCTTACCTTATAATGTGCAAGTATACTTTCAGAAGTACTTCGTTTGACAGCACTTTGCATTACTAAATTAACATCGATTTCATCTAAAAGATCTTCTAATGCCATTTGAGCTTCGACGGATTTTGTTGCTACATTTGCAGATTGTGAACATACCATTGAATCAGTACAAACACCGACAGATTTAGTCGTACAGTTTGAATCGACCATTGATACTTTGATAGTCGATGGTATCTGAGATGAAACGTTAAGGTTGCTTGATTCCGTTGTACATGCATTATCAGTATTTATGAGTATTTCTGTTTGGCAGGCCATGTCAAGTACTTCCTTTTGCAAATCGCAATTTGTTGTTTTAGTTTCAGTGACCGAAAGACTAGAATGTAATTCGAAACAAGATTTCGGACTTTTCAATCCTACCAAATTTTTATTAATGTAATGTTGTAAAATCTTTTTAACAAACTGAACTTTAGAATTACCCTTTACAGGCATTCTATTTACTTCACGAGAGGTTAATTGTGCAAGATCACCGATATTAATTATGTTTCTACTTGAGAAATAAGAATTCAAATGTTTAATCCACGACGGATAAGTCAAGTATTCGGTTATAGTATTTATAGGATCTTGACACGACGTCAATTCTAAACAAATTGGTTGTGTATCATTTAGAAGTTCTGGATTAGAACTTTTCAAGCTAGATTCACTAGCTTGGCTCACAGGTAAACTCCCAAATATTGAATCTGTTACTGGTAATGTATCTTGGTCCGCAATATTTTCTGATGTTTGTGTACTAGTTCGTAAAGGTTTCCCGCAAAATACTTCATCTGAATTCGCTGTAGAATTCAAACTAGTAATATTTCCCACATCTATCGTATCTTCTAAATTTTCTGCATTAGTTGTAATATTTAATTGTGAAGAAATTGCTGAATCGTTTTCATCAGTAACATCTTTATCTTCGTTTTGTGGCTGATCCGTATTATCTTTATCATCCGCACTACCAAACATATCTTGCTGAGTTTCAGATTCTTGGGATTGAAATATTTCGTCATTTTTAGTCGACGATGGAAACTGTGCCTCCTTAGGAATGGTCGTATCTTCTATCATTTCTCCTTGTTGGGACAAATTATCTAATGTAACTTCAGTGTATAACTTTGTTTCTGAAATTTCGCTCATATTCTCTGAAAAACTGCAGGTTGTATGATCATCTATTACCATATTGTCATCAGTATATTCTAATTCCTCGGCTATTTTTGTTAATAATTCATTCTCCCTTTCACATTGTAAATCGACTTCACATCCGTAATCTGGTTGTACTTCAACATTCTTATCTTTTACCGTATCAATTTGAATGAATTTCAGTTTTGTTTGCTTTATTCGTTGCGGCGTATCCTTACGAAACAATAAAATACGAGAAGATAATTTATTTGCTTTATCGGGAGAATCAGTAAGCGTAATCTCATAACCCATTTGCTTAGAAACTGGAGGGTCAGCGAAACTAACTCGTTTTCTCTATAAAAAAAAAAAAAAAATAAGTAGATACGTGACCAAAGATACATATATATATAAAATTATGAAAATTAAAAAAATACCTTATTTGATGCTGTAGTTTCTAAATCACATTCTGTTAGAGCCATTCGATGTCGCTTAAGAATACTAGCACTAGGTGATGCAGTTAATGATGGAGGATTAGCACTGGACCATTCTAGCATAGGTAATTCTGTTTTTTCCTGAGACGGCGATAAACTACCGTCATTTCCTTTCTCAACTGTATTTTCCAAGCTGATTAGCATATAATCAGGTATTGTTTTCTCTACATTGGAAGAAAGTTTTTCACCGTCATTTTTTAAATTAGAAAATGATTTAATT